CTGATGATGTTCGTGCCGTTGCCTCTAGAGGTAGCCGTAGAGCCCCTCCTCCTTGAATATCGTCACTAGAGCGTGCCACACGCCTCGGTACTTTACTTGCCCGGGTCGTTGAAGCTGTAACGACGCGACATGCATGCGATGAGCGAGGTGCACCCACCCAGTCGCGTTGCTCCAACAGCTGTGGGTGTGGGCGGGCACAGCGCTGGACGGAAGCATCGGAGGAATCTCGCGGTACCTGGAACAAGATCTTGACACGCTCAAGGGGAGAAACGCAAGTGCGCGAAATGGCTCCAGCTAGACCGCCAGCAAGGAGATGCTTGAGGATCTTGCTCTCCTCTGGATGATTAAAAGTAAATAAATTAATAATCCCACGCCAACGGTCCTCTCGAACGCCTTGGTCACGCACCTGGTTTGGGCTTTTCGCTTATGGTGACTGTTTGTGGGGCTGGTGTGGTGGCTGCACCCAGACCCAACCTGTAGATTGCGGGGGGGGGGCATTAAGAACAAGTCAACCAAGCCTCTTCTCCATCCATGAGCGGGAAATGCGATGCGGTACTTCTTTTCCTCTGTCATCCTTTCGTGGATGCGCCCAGGAAATTGGACCTACAAGATGCGAAGCGAGGAGAAGATGTGGGCTCCAGCAAGTGCTTTGCGCGCGTTGTTCGTTAACTCCGCCGGAACTCAACCACACCGGATTCGAACGCACGACGTTGCCCCTTTTGTGGCGGCGGACGTCTCCCTGAGGTGTCCATGTCGTCTTGTTGTGATGCGTACGCATTGTGCCTAACAAGTACCTACAAGCGGCCCTGCCCTGTCTAGCTCTCTTTCAGGTCGGGTTGCTTACAGGTCGCACTCAAAAACGATATCGAAGGTGTCGTCCGCGCCACTTAGCAAGGTCCTGGAATTGAGCAGAGAGGAGAGAGGACTCAGTACAGGTGCGCTGATTCCAGAGTTTCATGCGTTGGCGAGCGAACGCCGGTTGTACCTGTGCTCGGCTGATGGTGGAGCGGCATCGTCGTCTTCAATCGGAATGTCTTCCCAGCACAAGCCGGCCTTGATAGTAGAGCATGGCCATACATGTCCGCATGTGTCAGCCGTAGAGAGAGTAACGATTGTGAACATGCGCATACCCGTGGCGGAGCGGTGAGCAAGGACTCCTCATCCCACAGGTCTCCATAATCCGCGTTTCCGTCTCTGAGTTGACTGCTCGGCCACGTTCCGTTGTTGCTTGCATTCTCCTCTTCGGACGTGTTCTGGCCATCCGCCTCGGCGCGGACCCGCTTCTTGTTCACTCGCCGACGCTCAGAGCGAGAGGTCTCGCGAGTAGTACTTCGGAAGCGCTCTTCTTCGTTCCCCGACTCCATACCATTTGTTGCCTGTGCCTCGGCCAAGACGCGCTTCCGTCGTAGATCTGACTGTACCTCTACTGATGACGGCAGGGCCTTCGTCTTCTTCTTTCTGTACTT